TCACCCAGCACCTCTGACCTCTCCATCACGAACAGCGCAAGGCTCCGTGTTCTATCTGTATCACCGGTTTTCCTTCTCAGATGCCTCCCTGGGGCCACTTCAGTCAGCTTAAGGAGACACTGAAGTTATGAGGGGATGAAGACGTGTGGTAAGGAAAATGAATTTTATTTATTTTTTATTTTTTTAAATGTTTTTATTTATTTTTGAGACACAGAGAGACAGAGCATGAGCAGGGGAGTGGCAGAGAGAGAGGGACACACAGAATCCGAAGCAGGCTCCAGGCTCTGAGCTGTCAGCGCAGAGCCCGACGCGGGGCTTGAACTCATGGAGTGTGAGATCATGACCTGAGCTGAAGTCGGACGCTTAACCGACTGAGCCACCCAGGCGCCCAACGGAAAATGAATTTTAACACCAATGACACCATGCCATTGGAGACGTCGTCAAAAAGCACAAACGAAAAGCAACCACTAGGGGATGGACTGACAGAGGACATACAAAACTTTCTGGGTCCTACGCTTATATGGACTGAATGCTAAGATCAGTCCCGATGGGGTGGGAAGAAGACTGCCTGGGTGCTATTTTATTTCCGTGACAGTGGGCCCCCAAATAAATAAACTGGTGATGCACATCAAGTGGCAAATGCTCGGCCTGGTTGCACACAGCAACCTTCCCTGAAGGAGCTGCCTCAGTGGTTCCTGTGGAGCTGCCTGGGCACATCCGGCACCTGAGTGCTAAGTTCCCAGCATCCTCAGCGGTTCTCCCCCAAGGGACTTGAGCTTCCCCATCTACCTCACAATACATAAAGCTAATTATACCCACAGTGTTCACTGCATAGGACACACAACAAAACGGGCAGTCACAAATGTGAGCAACAGCTTTGCGGCTGGTTGACAAAACCAGCCACTAAAATAAGCGAACGCCAGATCCCATCATTCCTATGGGTTCCATCAAACTTTGCTAAGAGACTCCTAATTTGGAGGCAGCTGGAGCCTCAGATAGCCTTAGGGTCACAGCCAAGAGCGGCTTGCAAGGCAAATGATCCTTTATGGTGATGACACTCCACACGTTAGTATTGTACTTATGAAAGCTTATTGACTTAGGATGGAAATACTTCATAGCTGTCACTGGCCCTTTCATTTGCGTGCAATCATTTACTTCCCAGACAGTATACTAACAACAAATTGTGCCAAAATGCACAGCTATCTACACCAAAAGATTTGTATCCCAATGAGAAACATAAGCAAAAATGTATGTAATGAAATCACGTATAAAGCTACATTTATTAACAAATCCATTTCCTAATAAAATACCATCTGCAAGTACCCTCAGTTTCCACTGGATATAAATAGGCCTTTTACTGTTTTCAGATGCAGTTCCCAGAAAATTCTCCTAAGCTCAACTGAAGAACACATCAGTCTTTTTCTTTTCTCCTTTTTTTTTTTTTTTTTGGTTGCCTGGAATGTTAGTAAATTCTGTAAAACTAAGTTTTTAAACAAATTTTGTTCCAAAAGCATGCTTCAGTTGAAAAGCTGACCTTTCGCCATAAAGTTGGTTAGACTTCTAGAAGCCTTCTTATTGATACAGAAATTCGAAGAAGCCAGGAAATATGTCAAGGATGGGCCATAAGTAACACTTCTCCACTCCAGACACAAGCACAGACACGGAAAAGAACAAGGGCATAGGCACGTGCTCGTATCATTTCAATAATAGTTTGTGTCTCCCAACTCACAAATATATTAGTATCTGCTTATTTGTGTATCTTAGAACGCGGTCTGTTTCCTGGGCATTCAGCCCCCCACTGCTCCCAAATGCACTTCACTAACACACGGGTCGACCTCCTCTCACTAGAACCAGGGACAGAGATGGGAATACACAAAGAGACCCTCTTTGTGACTGCTCTCTGGACAAGCCCTTTTAAGTAATAACTCCAAGGAATGCTGCCACTCATCAACGATGGCTACTTTGACTGGGGACCCAGAACCCAACGCCTGGACCCTTCGGCGCCAGGGACCGGGGCTGAATTCTAATGCTAAGTGCTTTTGAAAAGTGCATCAAGATTTAATAGGGTGAATTTCCAGCCTTGGTCAGAGTTTTAGCCACATAAATTCCATTAGGTGCAAAGCTCCATAATGCTCCACCCCGTCTATATTTATGCCCATGTTTTAATCTACACCCTTCTAAGCTCCCTGTCAGGCTGTCAATCTCCAGTTTCCTTTCCTCCTACCCTTGCTTTTCATATTACCTTTGAAGCCAGGATGTTCTCCTGACTTGAGGGCCCTAAGCTTGGGTCTACCCCTCTTTCAAATCCTTTCTTGAGACCAATATTTTAAAATAAGTACTCTCTTCACTGATCTCTTACCGTGACTCTATTGCACCTGACCCATTTTTCATACAAGGCTCTACCAAAGTCTATTTGTACTGTCACCAAAGGCTGTGTGCACACAGGCTGCTCCTTGGATCATCGTCTCCAGAGTGAAGATAGCTCAGACTCTCTTTGGAAATGTACCTCTCATTGGTGCGCCAGAGTGCTGAGCAAAAGCATGAAGTCATTTCTGAATCTGGGTCAGCCATGTCGTGAATGTAGAAGAGAGGGGATTACAACAGAGTGAATCTCACTGGGTCTGTGACTTGTCACTCCGCTAATGAGGTATGGACATAGGCTGACAGACCCCTTGATGGGCCAGTACAACTCCCAGACCAGTCCTGAGTGATGACGCTGCCGTGGGAGGAGGGAACACCACCAGGTACCGGGGCAAGAGAAGGGACAAGAACAATATCCCAGCCTCTCATTATACTCGTCTCTCAATGCACGTTTCCTTGTGGATGTTAAGTATGACAATCCTGTGTGAAGTCATCCAGTGGAAATTAGGATTAGAACTTCCCAATGACTGTGCAGGAGCAGAGCAGAACGAGACACGGGCGATCAGAGTCCAATTAAAGAGGTACAACGAACGATGGATTTTCTAGCAACCGTTTACCTTTTCCGTGTGAGTTGCTTCACATCGTGGCTTCGAATATGTACTCAAGTAACCAATTTTCAAATTCATTCACTCAGCAAACATTTATTAAGTCGCTACCACGTACCAGGCATTTGCTAGGCGCTCGGGATACAGAAAAGAATGGGACGTTCCTTGCTCTCAAGGAGCTCACAGTCTAATAGAGGACACAGACACATCAACGGGTAGCTGTGATACACGAGGTAAGTGCCAGTCAAGGGGTACGTAAGGCGCTAGAGGACTCCAGAGGGAGCAGTCTGTAGTAAGCCTGGTGGAATTAGGGAAGCTTTCACAGAGAAAGGAACAATCGGGTAGACCCGAAGGAGGAACAGGACTTCACCAGAAGACAAGGGAGGGTGGGGACAGATGCTCTAGGCCGACAGAACAGCAGGCACGAAAGCAAGGAAGCGTGACAACGCGTGACATGATGGGGAGCCACAGGCAGCTCCATGTGGCTGGGATGTCATCTGTGCACGAAGAGACGGTGAAACGTGAAGTCAGAGGAGAAGCATGGAATCGGCGTGAAGAGCTTTGTACGCGGGACTAAGAGATTTGGACCTTGTCCGGGGAGCGATGAGAAGGCACTGAAGAATGCAAAGCAGGGGTGACGTGGCTACGTCAGCCCACTGGGTCAGCCTGAATGGAGGATGGTTTGGAAAAGAGGTGACACCAGAGGGAGGCAGAGCAGATAGGAGGGGCTGTCTGTGGGTGCCCACGGGCGCTCCGAAAGGCGGTGAGGGTGAAGAGGTGACAGGCTGGGGAGATACTCAGGGGGAAGCTCGACAAGACTTGATGAATGATGAGAAGCGAAACCGCCTCAGAAATGAAACAGTATTAAAAACATGCACTCAGAAAATACAACCCTCAGCCCCACTCCTCCCCTTCTTTTGTGTTCCCATCATCCTCTGACATCCCCACATCTGCTGAGTACGGATAACGGCGGAAGGGCCAGAGGTGCACATGGTCAGACTTCTGTAATTGAGACACCACTACCTCAGAATGTGCGACAATTCACACAGACTGTCTGTGACTCCTATTGAGTAAGAATTTCAACCTACTTTCTTCCTCTGCATCTTTTCAAGCCTTTAGGCACCAGTAACAGGAATCCAATCTAAAAGCAGTGGCTTCTTCCAATCAAGACTTGAGGAGCAGTAGGCAGCTGCTTACATGGTGGTGTCTGAGGGGCACCCAATATATGTCCCCCACCCAGGGACCACAAGGCCTGGGATCCAATCATTAGCGATCCATTCCTTTGGGGGAGGCTTTGGTCCCTCCGACTTCTCTTTTATAAGGCAATGACTCCTGAGATGGGTAGGACACTTAGTCATTCTAAACCCAGCGGCACTGTGGCTGAGCATATGCCTTTGGCTTTGACAGAAGGGGTCAAGGTAGTGTAAGAGGGCTATGTAGGTACCTGCAGAGGAAGGTGGTACAGAAGGGAGGACTGAGGGATACAGAGGATAACGTTAGGATCTTGCCAAGGAATAGCCCCCACAAGCACTCAAGAAACTAAGATTCTTAAGGAATGCCTTCCACTTCCGATGCCAGCAAATCACACTTGTACAGTCTTGTTCCTTAAGGAACTTCTGTGTTTTATGCTTATGACCTGCTACTTGCTAGTGAAGGCCTACGGTGGCTCACAATCTTTTCAGGGACCTCATACTGCTTATGACCAATCACAATCTCCAGTGTTACTAATCTGTACATATTGCTACAGGTGCACTCTCTGAAACTATTTTAGAAGTCCAAATTTTCATTCACTCAGACTGACCTTGTCTGCTGCCATTCCACATTACGGAGATTTAACTGTATTTGCAGAATGTTAATCAGTCAAGTCACAAGCCACAGAAGATCAAGACTCAGACTCTGACCTTGAAGAGTCTCATCTACGGCTCAAGAAGGTAAATAAGAGGTGCTTGTGAATACTTGATTATAGCGGTGAGAGAAGTGAACTAAAAAGAAAAAAAAAAGAAACAAACAAACAAAACTTGAAAAATTACTTACTTCACTTGTTTGGAGAATCGTGAACTTGGGCAGTTTGGGCTTTGAACTGGCCGCACTGGGTTTTCCATCCAACAGTGATCCGAATGACAGATTCCCAAAGCTGTTCTCGAATTCAATGGAAGGTTTCAGTGTCGGAGGGATGTCCGGTGCCTGGTCCTGGCCATCCATGGGTCTGACATATGCGGTCGGTTTTTGCTGCCCCATGTTTGTTTTGCAGTAAAGCCCTGGTGGAAAGTTCTGAACCGAAAGGCCACTGCTGGGAGCTAACAAAGAGGAGGCAACTAGGGGAGACCCAGGAGCGTGCACTGTAAATTCAGATTCTTCTGGCGAGACGGACTGAAAGATTTCTTTGAAAGCATCCCCTCCACTGGACTTGAGGCTATTGTCTTCCTTCGCAGATGGGTTTGACTCTTCGGTGGCCCCGACCTGAGGCTGTTCAGCCGGGTAGACGAAGAAGTCTTCCAGTCGGGCTTGGGGCTGGTCTTGCGCAGGCAGCTGCATCTTGTTTGGCTGGCTACTGGCCTGGCTGGCTGGTACAAGGCTAGCATTATGACCATCCCGTGGCCAGTCAGCTTTTGATTTCCTGTTGCCGTGTATTAGAGTGGAATTCAGTATCACGACAGAAGGCGGAGGCATTGGGGCCGAGGGGTGAGTGTTATCCTGGTGAGGTGGGAGCATTCGGTTCTTTTGCTCGGGGAGAAAGCTTGGTTCGTTTTTGTTGATGGGAGGCTGGGGCACAGAATTCTTTGGGATTCCCACTAGATGATTCTGATTAGAATGGTTAGTTAGCAAATCCTTCATCTCATCATAGTTTCCCAGCGTGTTCTGGACTCGGTTGGCAAGTGCATCACCTTTGTTTGTCTAAAATAACAAGAAGATGGGGGTGGGAGGAGAGAGAATGAATAGGTTTGTGTTTCCTAATGTTAATGTTTCAAACAGATGTCCTAAGCAGACTAGCATATAGGGTTCTTTAAAATTCTCATGCTGCCGTATAATTTCATACTTTTCATGTGCTATGTAAGAAAAAAAAAACCCAATAACACTATGGAAAGAGCCTCTTGGAATGAGCTGTGTGATTAACGTTTGTATACTCCCTGGCCTATCCTTAAACGTGCTCATTGGGAGAAAGTTTTAAATGACGTCGCTGAAGAATTTTATTAGCAAAATAACTTCGTTTAGGTCAGAGGAGCTGAACCGTTACATTCCGCGTTGTGAGGGACAACTTCAGCCTGGTGAGCCCGGGAATTGTAATGGAACATTCGACTTATGTTTGTTCTTGACACGTCAGCCCTTTGCGCCACATTATACCATGAAAAAGGCTTAGCCCATTGGATAAGGAAGTCGGTGAAATCGTGCGGTCGTGAATATATTGGTTCAGAAAAGCTCAACATCTAATTGAGCTAACATGACTAAAGCGAATCTAATTCCTTTTAATGAAAGGACTGTATAAATTACTAGTGTCTGCCTACACATTCTGGGGGCAACTGTGTGTACGTATTGATGATTCATACTTGTTTGCTTTGAAATGGTGCAATTGTTCATCAACACTGACTCAAGCTCTCCTGTGTCTTTTCAATGATTCAGAAAAAAATTTATTCAAGGACTTAAACCGCTGCTTACGTAAATCAAAACAAAGTCAGATTTCCAAAGTGATGTTGGCCACTAAATCATTCTGTGGGCAATCAACATACCGGCTCTATCTTCCCCTGCAGGAAATACTAATCTTGTTAAAATGGCTGTGGTTGTTCTTAAAACAATTAAGTTCCTGCATGGGTTTCTGTAATACAGAAAGCACAGCTATCAGAACTAGAAAACGGTGGCTAGCTACATACTTGGAAATGACTTTGACAAAAGCTCAGCTGTTCATCTCCGAGAGCGCCTTTTTATAATTCCCTTTACCTGCCCAAAGGTGTTCTCAAAACAAGCGGTTGAATTCAGAAGGGCAAAGGACTTCTTTGTGCTTAGGCTGCACTATCCTGGCCCAAGATATTGCAATGAAACACGGCTACTGGCATCCGTGGGGCCATGTGGCAGCAGGACCACTGGATGGGGAAGACAGCCACCCTACGTCACCTCTGGCTCCCAGGAGCCATAGGCGTGCCCTCCATGCATGGGAGGCAGTGACAACTTCCCCATGGATACCGCCTCCACTGCAGATAGAGGTTTAACATCTCAGGTTTCTCATTTGCCCTTAACACAGCCCCATCTCCTGGCATACACGGGGGTGTGCCTATCCAAGCCTGGGATTTCAGACTAAACCTAGGCTGTATGGCCGTGTGCTGTTCTCTGTATGTGAGGATGGAAGAGGGTGCAGATGAATGGAGGGTGAAGTGCAGGAAATGGATGAAATCACCCAGAGAAAGAAAATACAGAACGAGAAGATCAGGCTCAGGAGGCAACCCTGGGGAACATCAACCTTTAAGCGACTGAGAAAAGAAGAGGAACCGGCAAAGGATACCAAGAAGGAGCGACCAGAGAGGGAATCAAACTGGTGACCTTGGCCCCGTTGTTAACATGGTCTCCATAGAGTGTATACAGTATCCAACTCACAGCATGTGTGAAATCATAGAAGACATTTCCAAAGAAATGAGGGCAATTAGGGAAATACGATTCCAGAGATTAAGGAAAAGTATGTTAAATATATGTTAAAAGGGTTCTGTTGGGGAGGGGGAATTTTAGAGATCCAACAGATGTCCATTTTAGTTTTCCTATCCACAAGAACATCTGATATTGCCTCACATGCAACATTGGTGCTAAAGCAGTGATGAAACAATTAACATTCCATATAATCCTCAGCCGAATAATCGCTCCGTTTTCAGAAGTACATTTGAAAGGCATATTTAATAGATAGATATGAGCAGAACTCATTTTTATTCCCTGAAAAATCCCTACGTTTGTCCATTTTAATGGGATAAATTAGTCTTCAGCTAAGGCCAGAATAAACTTTGTATATACAGTGGGGTCTCCTTTGATGACGTTGTACAAACGAACCATTTGGGTAGCAGCCAAAACCAGTCTCCCTCCTATTCAGACCCTAAATTCAAAACAAGGAGATCTCATCATGCTGAAATCCCAGTACAAATTTGATGCAAACTTTAAATACTTGCAAAGTTGTTCTGGTCCCTCAAACAGTTTACCTCTTGGGTCAGATTACTGCTTAACGAACACTAATACCTGGCTGTCTCCAAATGTCTGAACTGTTTATTTCCCATTTCAAACACCTTTAGTTTACGTTGTCTCATTTTAATGAATTTGGATATGCTTCCTTCCCTTAGACAAAGAGAATTCTATAAGCTGAGTGCTTTTCCTTTTTGCCTTAGCTACCAGGAAGCTCAAAGCTCAACTTACCTAACTTTCACTGAAAGGTTACTGGACTTTCATTGAAAGTTCATTGAATTTCCACTGAAACTGAGTTCTACAGAATCAGAACCTTGCCCCGTGATATCAAAAAGACCACCACAATACCTCAAAGCCCCTGAGAAGTAATTCACTCTCTCCGGGCCAACACAATCAAGTCTCAAGAAGCTTGAGACTCATCTGCTTGCAAGCAAGCTAGTTTAGCAGCAAAAAAAGGGGCCACCCACACTCATCTTTTCTTCAATGGGGAGAACCTTGGTTAGGTTTTAATGTCTCTTTATTAACGTCTACTGTTATAATGATCTGGGCTTCCAATGCATGCTAAGATTTTTTTTCCCATCTCTAGGTTTTGAAATTAGGAGACCTTCTAACCTGGCCAATGTCTAAAACTGTATCTATGTAAATAAAATCAGAGGAAAATTAAAAGTTCTCTCAATACGTCCAGAAGGTCAACCTCCTATCATACAGGGTATGCTACAGTAATGATTTCTTTTCCTGCATAAAACTACGAGCTCTTAAAAGTCAAAGACCGCCTTTTGTTTGCCTTTATATCCTCAAGGCTTAGCACCATGTCAGATGCACATCAGGTACTCAAAAACTCGTTGCTAACACGAACAGAATCAAATTATAATTCATACCCTACCTATATCAAAATAAAGGATTTGCGACAGCTTGGAGTAAAAGGTACATCAACAGAAAAGCAAAAGCCAGGCTACCTTGGTTACCGTGATTGAACATTCAATTGAACTTTGAGTTTCCTGGTAGCTAAGGCAAAAAGGAAAAGCTCCCAGCTTATAGAATTCTCTTTGTCAGATGGAAGGAAGCAGACATATCCTAATTTATTAAATAAGACAAATGGCTTTCAGATACTAAAACGTAATAGGAATTCTTCTCATTGGTTCAGTTACGAGAACCTCTGTACAATAAAACCATTTTTTTCAGCCCCAATTTCACAGAAGATGCAAAGATGATCTTTATGTGGCTTTTTCTTACAATGACAAGAAACGAGAGTGTTGCATTAAAGTCTAACTTGGTGAAGGCATATCTCTATGCGGAGTTAGGGGGCTAGGCTAATGGCTCCAGGTGTGGGGATTTCCTGTGCACAAATGACCTAGGGGCGGAGCCGAGACAACTTGGAGGAATGAAGGGATGTCCACTCCCTTAGACTAGCTTCCTCACAGAGCAATGGTCTCAGAGAGACTCGTGAGCGGAACTGCACAGCAGACAGTTCGAGGTTGAGTTCACTGGCGACACTTTCTGAGTTGCTGATCGAAGGAAGAAGATCCACATGCTTTGCATAACAGACGTGCTGCGGCTACAGGTAGGAATTACCATGGTCATGCTTAAGACACATACTGGCAAATTCAACACAGTCACGAGGCAGGGTTAGGACAGAGGACACACAGACACATAGCCTCAAAAAGTCCACCACTGAACAATCTCTGAACAATTACCAGTACAGTCCAGGTCGCCTGAGTCACCTCTCTGCCTCTCCACCACCAGAGCTGGGTGACTGTCAACCAGTTTTTAAATTTCTCAAGATGTAGCTATGAGAGCTACCAGACAGAAAACCCAATGGGGCCTGAAATACATTTATGCACACCCGCACGATGCACTCTCATTATATACCACAGCAACCTGTGATTCACACTCCACATGTTCTGTTTCACCCTCCGGAGTCTTAGTAATCCTATTAAGGAGCAAGGTATCCTTGGCAGTCTTGATTGGACATTATAAACATGGCAAAAATGAAATTTAGCCATTTCAATCAATTACAGCCTTCTTTCAATAGGCCGATTCTTTCCTTCCCGTGCTAGATAATTGGTTGATTCTTAAAGGTAACCTCTGCAGCTATTACTTTCTAAGTAATCACAATTTCTCCATCATCAAGGAAATGCATTTTCCAAGTATTTTCAGGCATAAATTACACGTCTGGTTTGTGGCTCATGACTAACAGCATTCCTCCATTTAAGCTTTTTCCTCTCATTACTTTAGGAAATGCAAAGTTGCCTCAGTTTGCTTCTAATGCTATCTACAAATCAGTAAGTAGAAGTTCATTGCAAGACTAATGTCCTAGGAGGCTATTTGTACCATGGCATTTCTTTTTAATAAAAGTCACAAAATAATTTAAGTTTGGGGGTTCATTTTTTCCTTTTATTTCATTGTGGCTAATGCGTGTGATTTAGTAATTCCTTTTTCTCTAATTGTAATAGTTTTACAGTTAATCTCTCTAAGCTGTAAGTTGTTATTTCTTTCTTTAATTATAATAACAATGGTCTCTTGAACTTGTACAGCACTTGCCAGATTTCAAAGCAAGGTCTCCCAGCTCGTTTGACTTGATCCTTACAACACGCACATGACTCAACAGAGCAGCTCTGATCTCAGTCTGCCTTCTACCTCCCCGACCCAAATGACCTTGGGTAAGCCACTTAATCTCTCTGTGCCTTGCTTTCCTCATTCTTGCAGAGCTGCAAAGAGCTAGAAATTGTTAGTTGTTGTTGCTTTCTCATCATTATTATTATCAGGGATTCTTTGATATCAGGTATTCTTATTCAGTTCACAGAGGAGGAAACTATAGGTCAGAGGAACGAAGTTTCTTCACCCAAGTCACACAGGAAGTAAGCTTACCAGGTCTTCTGACCTCCTACGGGAGGATAAACAGCTTCCTGTGACAGATACTGAACCACACAGAACTGGGTCTAGATTCATCACTTACATGGATATGAAGCAGCAGAGAAGTCACCTCGCCTCTCTGAGCCTCAAATTCCTTGTGGTCAACATGAGGAAAATGAGTACTCCGGCTGCCATAAGGACTAAACACACATGTATAAAGCCCTAGCACGTGCCTGGCGTTCGGTAGGCACTTGATACATGCCAGGTCCTTGTCCCGCCCAGTCTTTCCACACTAACCTGACATGGCAAAGAGCTTCACAGTCTTCAAGTGCTTTTGAACACATCCTTCTCAGCACCACAGCACAAAGTCCGATTTGAAAGTTGTAAGCGAAAAACGCAGCCATCACCAACCAAATCTAGGGGTGGTCAACATTCTTTCCATTCTGGGAACGGTACGGGTGAAGCAAAGAACGGAAAGAAACCAGCCAGGCTGATAAGAGATCACCATTTCTTCTAACTGCCAAGAAAGGGCAGTGGGTCTTAGGGACCGATACTCATTGGCTACTTTATGAACTACCAACACCATTGGACAACTGATCAGGCCGCGTTGTAGGCTTCAAGATGGCAAGAAGTTTCCTGAAAGTCCCGATCCACCACCAGGAGTTCTGATTTTTAATTTGATAAGCATTCCTACCACAACCCTAAGGAAGGGGTTATGGTATGTCCTTGTCTCTACCAGTGGACCGTGGGCCAGCTCTAAAACTCCCATTGCCACTGGCATATCCAGACACTCCAAGGGTGTCCATACTAGTCCAGGCTCGGGGAGTTTATGGAGATGTACACCAGTTCTAGTATCATAGTATGAGAGGAAAGGAAAGGTATACTCCCCAGTGATCTCCCAGGGAACCCTGAACATGGACACAGCACAAGATGGCAGCTGATCATCAAAGCAATGGAGGAAGAAAAAATTCCTAGGTCATCAACCAATAGCTTAATTCCTTTCCTATACAGTCTTGAGAAGAACAAAAGCTCTTCCTGATCAAGAAGCATAAAGGCAATAGGCTACTAATCACACAACGGCCTGGCTCTGGGCTAGACTAATGTTCCCATCTAGTGTCCCTACCTGATATACTCTTGTCATAGCAAGACAGATGACTTTCGAAAACTTCTGACAATGTTGATAACAGGTTTTTTAATAACTGCCTACTCAAAAATATACTGCTTACATCTAAAAGTGAACATGCATCTGTATCACAGGCCTTGTTAACAAGAGATGGCATTTACCTTAAAGATACAAGACCATTAATTCAACATGACTTAAATTATAAAGGGGGGAGGATAAGCCAAGGGTCCCATGCCTCATAATAGTGTTGGGCATGAAGTAGATTTTGAATTTTAAGCATGACTCTTGAGGAAAGCTGACTTTTCTAACTCATCCAAAGATAAGACATAAAACTCATCTGGGTTATTCCTCTTAAGAAGGGACAAGGCATCTATCATCCTTGGACTCTCCTCCATTTTCCGGAATAAATGGAGGCCACAACATCTTGCCCTTCCCCCAGTCTTTCTTCTACTCTCCTACTTTGCTCTCAACCTAATTTTCCTTCCCACTCTTCCTCACCATGGCTGGTCACCCTTCACACACTCTTGATTTTGCGTTTGCTCATCTCCTCTGGGAGCCTGCCCCACTCATCACCTCTTCCTCCACTACCTTCACCCTCTCCCTCTCGACGGACATCGGGTCCTTCCCATCAATCTCTAAATGTGTTCACATTTCTCTCATTATTAAAAACAAAGCCTCTTGCATTCCATATAATTTCTTCCCTTACATTCTAACTTACCTTCCTTTCTTCCTCCCTCCATACAAAAACCCGCTGCCTTTCTTTCTTTTACCACCTCCCATTTACTCCCCAACCCCAGGCAGTTTGGCTTACCTGCAGTAAGCACCACCATCAACAATTAAACGACTCTCCCTAAGGTCACTGACCCCCTCCCCCTTAACTACCAAACCAACAGCCACTTTCCAGTCCTGACCTTTCCTGGCCACTCAGACACAGATAACTAACAAATCCTTCCTCTATAAAACCCTGTATCCCCTTGACTTCTATTAAATGATTCTCTTCTCCTTCTCTTCCTACCTCTGTGATCATTCACTCCTTCTTTAGGTTCCTTTCCTGGCTTCTACTTTGCCACCTTGCTTACTGCTTCAATGTTGCTATTCCCCAAGATTCTGACTTTGTCCCTCTTACTCAGTCATCTGATAGCTCCTACCCCCCTGCCTGCTAACACCAAACTCTCTCTCTTGACCACTCTCATTAGCTCCAGATCCCTCCATCCAATGCCTACTGGATATCTCTCCCTTCATATCCCACTGGCATGGTCAAAACAGAATTGTGTTTTTTCTCCACAAGTACCAACCCTGTTTGCTCCTCAACAGTCTGTTAGTGAGACTGCCATACTCTCAAGTCAAAATTACGGGCATCATTCATTCCTGTCCCACACTTCCCACATCCACGCAGGCAGCCAGTCTCAGCATTTCAACCCACTTGCTCTACCTTAAATCTTGCCTTCCATGAACTCCCCTTAGCTGACTACAAGGGCCTCTTTATCTGCCTCTAGTTTCCTTACCTCCAACCCACTCTCCACGCTTCCAACATCACCTTTAAAGTTCTTTGTCTGTCCTGGACGTGCCCTTACTTAAAAGCTCTCAGTGACTTCTCTTCATGTGCGGAACTGGGTCCAAACTCCTTGGCACGAGGTACAAATCTCCACGAACCTCTCCCCAGCCCATCTCTGTAGCAGTTACCACGCAGTCACGCCTTCACTCACCATGATGATGTCTACCACTGGGCAAGGAAGTCCTTGAGGGCAGGGACTAGGTCTTGTTCCTCTTTGTACCTTAGTCTAAGACGTGACTAGCACATAGTGGGCCTTCAATAAGTGTTTGCTAAACCGATCATATCCCTAAATACGTGCATTCAAAGGCACTGTATACATTAAATAAATGGAGATAGGAAAAACGCTTTTTGAAGGATTATACTATTCTTGACAGATTGCAAAGCGGTAGGTTAGGTGACCTAACTCTCTTGGCCAGACTCACCGAACTTGGAAGCACCTGAGTCTTAGTCAAGAGCTGCCTACTTATCACAAACAAGGCAGCAAGACTCTGGTCTCACTGGTCACCGATCCAAACAGCTTACTCTCTACCCCAAAGTGGTATTTGTGCCTATGCTGTCCTTTCCTTTTCCAGAAGTCATTGTCTTCTAATTGGTGCCCTTCGAAAATCACAACTCTCAAAAATTTTCTCTATTGTTGTTTTAACTCTTACATCAGTTTTGTTTCATTACAGAAAATTACACTGCTACTAAATGGCAATAAACACCAACCAGCTGCCAGCAATTCCACAAGATTCTTCCCCCAAACCCCACACATAGAAAGTTCAGCAGTATGAGTGTTGTTGGAGCTACAAACTAGCTAGAATACCACCAGAATGTCAAGCCAGCTACACCAGCCGCTCTGGCTGAGGCGATCTCTTAATCCAGGATTGGTAACCACCGGAGAAAACGATTGGCTTTTCCCTTTCTCCTAGAGCAACGATTTTCAAAGAGCACTCAAACCACTCAACGGCTGCTAGCAATATAAAATGGCCCTTGCTAGCAATGGACGGCATTGACCGGGAGGAGAAAGAGACATAGCCGTTGACATTCTGATGAAGTCTTCAGGGGCTGCCTTGCTGATAGCCAGAGTGGGGATAAGCGTCAAGGGGGCACTGCTTGCTGTAGGAAGTGCTGGGCGGGAGAGAACTCCTTGGAGACGGGAAGTCTCACTAGTTCCTTTCAAATCTGACGGTACTCCCCAAAGAAGACAGAATTTGTCTCTGAAGGCTTCCTCAGAAACCTGCGATTGCTCCCAATACAGTGTACGTACATATTTCATTTGTGAAATATATTCTCCTGGAAATGATTCGGGTGCTTTAAAAATAGATTAAACGTTGATTAGTGTGTTCAAAAATGTAACAAGCAAGCATTTTCCAGAAAGATAAATTACATACATATTCAGCTACCTTGTAGGGCTCCCCAAAAAGATCAAAGCCTGAAGAAAAGAGATCGTCTTCTTGCTGGACTTCTTGATTCCTCCGCTCCCATTCCCTTTTTTTAAGGGCACTACGGTCTTGTTCATAGTGACTGATATGAAAAAAAAAGACAAAAGGAGAAAAAGATTAGTCACTTAAGTCATTCAGCACTCCCTTGTCATCAATAAGAAGAAAAACAACGCAAGGCAACGCTCCCCAAACGGATACCATATAGAGAGCAGAGAAACCCTTTCTTGACCCCCAGTGGGTTTAAGATCCCAGCCAGTTCTTTGGAATACAGAAGAAAATGGAAACTTGCTGATTAGAAATCCTACTCATGCCCACTTAAGCACTGCAGAATCCTCTTTCCTTGTCCTTGCTTGAGTGCTACAGGCAATTAGAGACTCCCCAAAAGTCAGTCCACTGCACAGAAAGGTCCTGAATTCAGGTTGCTCTGTCGCCAATGGCTCAGGGCTCAGAATTCACAGATACTACAAAGTCCTAAGGGGAAGGGATTAACCAATATGTCACAGACAAACCGTAACTCGGATTGTTAGAGTGAGCCTGTTGTGATGAGATCACAGGAGAGTCAAAGGACTCATTCACTCACACTCCTTCTCACACTGGTCGTGTCGTTTTGGCCTTCTCATAGTTTGTGTCACAGGTGACAACCTTTTAAGGAAACTCTTCAAAAGAAAGGTGTCTGGCTTGAAGTCCAAACCACTAACAATTAAAGAAGGTGATTAAGAGCCTTGAACGACGTTAAGGCACACGTTCTAGAAACACTGTATAGCTCTGTGACTCATTGCATTTCAGGCTTTCCCATGGGAGGTTCAGTACAAAAGCTTTCAGACAATACCTAAGATGTACTCCAGGACCTTGAATTTTATAGAAGCAAATGCTTCCTGATGAAGCAAACAGTTGTCTTCTTCATCAGGCAAGAACGTACATGTTAAACTACAACGTGGGGGCACCTGGGTGGCTCAGTCAGTTAAGCGTCCGACTCTCGGTTTCAGCTCAGGTCATGATCTCGTGGTCGTGAGATCAAGCCCTGTGCCAGGCTCTGCACCGGGCATGGAGCCTGCTTAAGATTCTCTCTCCCCCTCGGCCCTTCCTCCACCACACTTGTGCACTCTCTCTCTCAAAATAAACAAACAAATAATAATCCGGAAGTCTCAAAAGTGGTGAATTCTTTTTGTCCATTGGGTTTCCCCATCCCCTAATTTTGACTGAAATCTTACTCAAAGCGAGTACATATATGCTGGGCAAATTTAAATTATATGAACGTACGTAAAATGCCTAACAGGTGCTGTACAAATGTTGCTTTCCTTCCCCATGTTAATACCGCCATGTTAAGACTTAATTAGATAATTGGCATGCAAATGAATGTAATAGCTAAAGGAATTACAAGAGATACGCTGATCTAAGAGTACAGTCGACAGGTTTTGAATACATCCCAAACCTTAATGCCTATCCTTGGGAGCCGAGTCTGCTCATGAGTATCAGAACTTTTAATTTACAAAATAAGGGCACAGAGCATGAAATATCCACGGCAGCTTAACTAGATATTGATATACGTGGAGTGTGAGATGCCACTACACTTAATCATCCACCTTTCTCCAGGGGAATCCTTGAACTGACACATTCAAAGTGACTCTGATAGCCTTCTCTTCCGAATCAACAACACTTCATTTCTCCGATCTAAAAAGTGGCAACGTTTAAAGGATGTTCCAACGTACATTATGCTTTCACAATACAAACAATGCCAGACACAGAGGAGCTCGCTGGGCCGGTCGCAAGAGCGCTCGGCAAATGGTATCGTACACTGCCCGGGAAAACACAAAGACCCTCCGGAGCGCCACACAAAGCCCAGACCCCACATCTGGGCCCCGTCCGGTCAAGAACGAGGCCAAGTCCAGATACCGGAAGGAAGGCAGCCTATGTCTCGTAGTCTCAAACACCATCCACAGGTATTACGGTCGCTGGCATCAGCTCTCATTTCCACCCACGAGTTGAGATCAGAACCCCAACCGGTTGCCACCGTGTTGGAGGGCCACTGTGGGAATCCGCCAGACCTGGCGACGTCTTCAGACCGTGCACACGGAGCCCGAGTTCGACCTCAGCACCATCCGCGGGCCGCTCGTAACCCAAGCCTGTCATCCATGTGTCAAAATGTAAGAAAGAGAGGGCGTCAGGCGTGGAGGGGGACGAACGAGTTAAAGCAGTACTGGGGGGGGTGGGGAGGAAGGCCTGTCACAAAGGAAGACACCTCATTTCCTTGCCCTTCCCCAGCACGCGACTCTACACGCAGAAACGAGAGCCCACACCTCAGGCGTCCAAGGAACGCGAGCAAGACGCCCGTTTTCTACCCTCCGTTCATTCTGCGCACCCGACAGCCCAGAATGACAGGCCCACGGGTCACGTTTAATCCTCCCTTGAAGGGAACCGAAGCCCTCCGGTGCCCCGGCCTGGCGAACCACCTTCCTTCTCCTCTGAGGGAAAAGGCAGAATTCAACCCCTGAAGGAACAGAAGGGGAAGGAGAAGCAAAGGAGACGGCGCTTGGACTCGCGCGACAGCCGTCCAAGCGGCCGGCAGCCGGGGCACCTCTGGACGCTTTCGACCCGGCTCCGATTTCTTAGGAGGATCTTGGCTCCGTTCTGCAGCAGCGCATTAGCCACCAAATTCCAGATGGAAACGGGAAGAGCAGACTGAGGGCGCACAGGGGTGTTATCTGGTGCCGGGAAACTGCCTGCTGCACTTTGTAACCCGCGTCACGGAGGACGGTTAAAGCCTCGCATCTCTGGCGAGAATGAATGTCATCTCCACAGAGCTCCCCTGCCCTTGGAAGGCAACCGAGTCTCTGCAACGCGTTCCCCTTTCGCTGGGCACGGCCTTGTGCTGAAAGCTTCACCCGGCGAGGTCTGATGAGGAACGAACTACGCGGTGACGAGGCTTTCGCGGCGGGGAACGTCACCGATTTCTGACTGAAACCAGAATTAGTAACTCGAAGCACCGGCTAATTAAGACCACAGCCGTGTATTTAGCTTCTCGTTATACCTACTGCAGTATATAATTATGAGGCCCTCTTTATCTACTCAATTAAAGTGCTTCTGATTCACGCAGGTTGTGTCGGAACGTGTGAGCCCCGCAGAGGCCCCAGGAAACTCTGTGACCGTCCCCTGATGACTGGATGTACCTTCACCTGCCCAGGCTCGTTTCCCAGAGGAAAGAAGGGCTCCACAGCCCATGAAGAAACGCTCAAGCTAGAAATCAGGATTAATCACCATATTATTGGTCCGAACAATCCGAATTTACTCACCCTGATGAGGACGGGGAGGGTTGAGCCAAAACTCAACTCAAGGCCTCTCCCTGATAGCAAGTTATACAATGTTCTTCCAACTTTTTACTCCAGGAAATGATGAAATTGGTCACATTACAGTGGTATGAAAACCACCAAACACCCACAACTCAATTGAGTCTTAATTATCCGAAGGTTGAGAGAGAGAGAGAGACAGAGAGACAGAGAGACAGAGAGAGAGATCTCTCTCCAGAGCCCCTCTCCCTTTTGGAATCCGTGCAGGGCGTGAGGGTGAGAAGCTTCTCTCTAGAATGGGGCTTTTCTGTTAGCTCCGATTTTGCCCACCCATCTGTTGCCCTGGCCTCAATGACAGAGAGATTGCCCTCCTTAACACGGGAAGAAGCTAAGACCCTCCTGAGAAGGGCGGGGGGGTTCCTGCCAAGGCCTCACCCAGGTAAACGCAAAGGTGACTTCTCCTTCTCACTCAGATACTCTCCCATCCTGGCACTTAAACCCGATCACGTACACAGGCAACTCCCATTTTCATCACCAGAAGCCACAGGTGCACTCCGAGGACGAGAAAACCCAGGGCACATGCAGATTCGCTGAGATCGAGAAAGTTCCATTGTGCTGTCTTCATTAGCTCACGGTGGTAGCGCAGTCGGGCTGACGGCACAGGCTAGTCTTTTAGAACAAAGGCTGTCAGAACAGGAAGAGACCATAGCAATCATGCAGTCCCAGTCTCTTCATTTTACAGATGACGAAATTGAGCTCAGAAAGGTAATGGGCCTCACAGCAGGTCTGTGGCGGCACCGGGAGGCAAGAACCAGGTTTTCCAGCGCCCAAACGAGTCTCTTCCAAATACCCCACGCTCTGTCTCTTCTGCTGCCCGGGCTTCCATCGAGAAGAAGTATCAGTCCCATCTGCACTCTGTGGGTCAATTTCCCTCAGGATTGTCTTTGATTAGAAATTGCCAGTAGGAAAAAAACTTTAGGAATTTAATTTGGATTCGAGTATAGAAAAACCATTCGTTTCCTTATACCAAACGTACAGACCCTAAAGGGATTGTAAAAATGAACTACATCTGTGGAGAGAAGCTGAGCGAGGGAGAGTAAAACCCGGTTGAAGTCCATTTGCTTTGTGGATTCCATGAAGTTCAAAAATCATCCTTTGCCTAATTCAGTTATTTTACAAAGCTAGTTGGGGACACATTAATAAAAAACACTGATATCTTTAAATGACCAGCTTGTTTAAAAACACTGCTAACTAATACAGGATTTACTCATTTTCTAATTCAACTGGCACTAAAATACCTTTTTTTTGGCTAATATCTTTGTAAAGGCATAAAAAAATACATATTTCATTCACCCAAGAGACAAACGTAAGCTATAACTCACTCCTTATGGTTCTCCTGAATGAATCTCTGCCTTCTATGAGATTTGTATTTATACTCACTACATGTTCCAGAGCTCCAAGTGGCACTTTTTTTTCAGTAGCTAGTCCTATTTTTAATTTGACATTGACCTAATCTTTACAAAGCTTCTGTTAGTAAGAAAGAAAGCAAGCAAGCAAGCAAGCAAGCAAGCAAGAATGAATCTTGGCTATTCAATTCCCTCAAAATCACCCCCAAGTTACATACTGTTCATATCCATGGGCACTTAAATGTAAAGTGCTAAATTCAAAACTCTGAAATAAAGCTAAAAGCAGGTCATAGTTGTTTTACACATCTAGGGGAGACACATGAGGACCTGGGATCTGGACATGTGAACATGGCCTTGAAAAGGAGTTTCCACAATCAGTAGAACCTCTAAGTCATGTTCAGACAGCAGGATTCATTGAGACCTCTGCATACAACCAGTCTCTTCAGCAAATGGACTCCCCACAGACGGTGGCTGGCTCTCATTTAAAAAAAAAAAAAAAAATCGAGGGCGCCTGGGTGGCTCAGTACGTTTAGCATCCAACTTCGGCTCAGGTCATGATCTCGCGGCCTGTGTGCTGACAGCTCAGAGCCTGGAATCTGCTTTGGATTCTGTGTCTCCC